CACACACACACACACAAATAAGTCAATAACAGCAGAAACCCTGTTTAAGAGAAATAAAGGTGGCCTGGTTGTGCATGTAAGGGCTACCAATTAAAGTAGCCATAAAAACTATTAAGCTGGTACTCCCAAGAGGGGGGGGGGGGTGTACGTACTGTGTAGGCTGGTGCTGAAGTCCATGGGGTTGCTGTAGCGACCGTATCCAGCAACAGTGCGAGCTCTGACCTGCACCACATAAGGTGTAGCGGCCCTCAGACCCTCCACCTTGGCTGAGCTGTGCTGGGCAGTTACTGTGTGCGACATTGCCTGGCCCTGACATACAAATAAAAATGATTGTTAAAGCAGCAGTTGCCGATGTTTCTTGATCATTTCCAGGTGGCTTGTAGGTGAAGAACCAATTTTTTGGTTACTCCTGAATATGAAAAAAATTTCCTACTTTAATATGTTGCTGCCACTAAAGCATGAATAAAGCCATCTTCGTCTGTCTCTTTTTCATTCTGAGATATTTGTATTTTTCCAGTTTTGCCTCTTCAGGATGTTTTACTAGGGAGCAATTGACTCAGAGGTTGGCATTCTCTCATTATGTAATTTTTAAAATTGAGAAACAATCTTACACCTACAATATTAAAAGTTCATTTCAGGACTAATACAATTAAGCATTTCAATAGACTGAGAGGTTAAGCAGCTCCTGTTCTTGTAGCTTGTGGTGGTTAGTTTTTCCATTTTTAATTTCTCTGTAACAAGAGCCAGTTAATTATGACTTTTTTCTTTTTGCACTACTTTCCTTTATTGTCACTTGTGGCCATTGTGAATTAGATGTATTAATTAAGACCTACTCAAACAATAAAATCTACATACCTAAGCCTGAGTCTTACCTTAACCTAGCCTTAACCTCTGGACTTTTTCCTAATGGGAAAACAGCTTTTGTCCTTAATCTGACAATTCTTCCCCAGTTGACTGTTTTTTATCACACACAAACACACAGCCACCCACACACAAATTCTATGGTCTAGGTTTTTACTATTAAAGGTTGTAAAATATATATTTAATCAGCAGGGCTTGAAATTCTATCAATACCAATAACAAGGGGCTCCCTCTGGTAGCTGACCTGCTTGACTGTGTAGCATTAAGTCTGAGTCCTCACTGCAGCAGCCTGAGTTTGAATCCAGCCTGGGCCAGAAAAGGGGGGATGTCATCCCCTATCTCCCCCTGGCTTTCCTGTCTGTCTCTGCACTTACACTGTCATGAGGCAAAAAATGCCTGAAACAATAACTTTAAAAAAAAATACCAATGACACATTACATCACCAGTTGCTGAGTTTAACAAGCACATAGTCTGCAACAATAGAGGCTTCTAGAGTCTACCAAGCCACTCCCTGCACATATTAATATCAAATCTTTCTGCATCCATGTATAATTCCAATCTCCATCTGTCTGTCTGGATGAATGGAGAACACATGTCTCAAAAACCCTCCATCTTATCAGCTTCACACTCAACATGTGTATTGTTAAGGGCAGAAGAGCAGCTTTGAATTTGGCGCCGAGAACTAGTGCGTTCACAATGACAACTGAATTAGGGTTCTACATTCTAGCTTCACCGAGCTTTGAATAAGCAGGTGACCAGCTCTTTGTGCAGCAGCAGAGGTGCAGCTTCAGGTTTCAGCAGCCAGTGTTATCAGTAACCAGCATTACCACAGGCCAAGCATGGGCACTGAACTAGTCCGTAAAATTGTTGGAAAAGAACATTTTCAAAGAACATAAAGCATGCAATGTGACCTACATTTAGGATATAACTAAAAAGTTAGAGCTTACCCTCTCGTGGTATTTGATCTCGTAGTCGAGGATGACCCCGTTGGGTTTCTCTGGGGGCAGCCACGACAGGCTGAGAGTGTCAGATGTGGAGCGCATCAGATGGACGGTAGGCACTGCTGAAGGCGCTGTTGGTTGGACACCAGAGAAGTTTACATGACACTGGTACCTGCACTTTGTGTTCTGAGTTGCCAAAATTGTTGCTCTTTTAAAGACACAAACCATCCCAGTAAGATAATTATTATTCAACATACTTCATGCAGAACGGTTTAAGAGAAGCAGTACATGTTTCACCTTCACTGCTCTGCAGCTTATTGATTTGTGAGGCCTGAAAGTGACTCAATTGATAGTCATTGTCCTGGGTCCATAAACTGCAGTAAGGTGGATTAAGTGCAGGTTAACTGGGAGAGTAATTACATTCTGTGAAAGGTGCTGAGCAGTTTGGTTGATGGTGATGATGCAAATATTAAGTGGAGATGTTGAAAGGTGACATTGTCAGTGAGCTTCTGGTTGACAGTGGAGACATAACGTGTCCTCTACATTTTATCTCACTTCGCTTTAAGGCTACATCCACACAGCTATGTCTCATAGACTCTGCTACAGATGCGATTGCCGTCCATACTCCTCTGGTGTGTTAAAGCCACTAAAACAGAGAAGTTTGACATGTCACTGAGCTCAGTTTAGTTTGAAAACTTCAGGGCTGTGTTTTAGTCTGGACAGAACACGGTCTGTCACGACATAGACTTCGCTGATTAGTGACATGATCCTCTTCCAGAAGAAAACAACCAGCATTAGCCTGTTGTCTTGGCTTACGGCTGCTGTGCAATTAAATTCTGCATTTGAACTTGTTACTGCTTGCATGTGTAGAAGATTATTTATTAGGGAACAGTCTCCAACTAACAACCAAATGCTTCCTACTTACACTGGCAACCACATGCTCAGTGTACGTGAGTCATGTGATATGCGTTCAGGCGTATTAGTATGGACAGGGATTAGAACTGAGACAGATCTAAAACGATTGTGCTGACAGGGATTATTTTCAAACGAAAACGTAGCAATATGGATGTAGTCTGAGTCGCTCCGAGAAGCAGAGCTCTCACTGGAACTTTCCATCTGTTGTTCTCACTGAGCTCGTTCACCAGTGTTTGCTGTTGGTGTTGATACTGCTCTTTGACTCTCACCGACATTGACTGTAGGCTCCACTAACCAGCCTGCTTCCTCTTGATGGTAAACGTTATTGATTGGAGCCGCCTGATAAATGAACTTGGTTTGTGGACACATACACTGTCATTGACGCATCTTCTTCTACTAACCGGCTTGGTTGGTGGTGATGTTGACTGTGGAGTAGCTGGGGGATGTGGGGTTCTTCCCAGAGACCCCGTTGACAGCCTGCACCTCGAAGCTGTAGGGCGTGTGAGCCTGCAGGTTCCTCACCACCACTTTCCTCTGCCTCAGCCCTAGCCTGCGGGGCGCGATGTCCACGTTGTCGTCACAGCGTGTGCAGGGGCTCCGGTCCCTCAGGCATTTCTTGCACACAACGTTGTAGACCAGGTCGCTCCTCCCGCCTGTGTCCTCGGGCTCCTCCCACTCCAAGGACAGCGAGGTCTCGTTCACACTGGATATAACATTGCGAGGCGCTGAGGTGATAGCTGCAGAATTGCACACACACACACACACACACACACACACACACACACACACATACGTAGGTGTTTAAGAAGGTAGGCAGGCAGAAAAGAAAAACACATAAGTGAGGTGTTAGTCATGTTCCCTATGCAGTGCAGTTCTTCTTACACAATACTTTTACACAAATAGATGTGTTATTTGCATAGCGAGTCCCAAAACTGTGCATGGAAACTTGTCAGAACACAACAACAGGGAAAAATCCTTCCTGGTGCAAATAAATAAATCAAGGAATTCGGTGACAGGAGAATAAGCTCAACTTGTTCACTGTTCATCACTAAGTAATGTTGCTTAAATGAATATACAATGCTGTACGGCTCTACAGTTGTAGCTCATGTCCATCTCTATGTATATCTCCTCTCGGTGCTGGTAGAGATTGGCTAATCCACCCAAGATAGAAATGCATGTTCTAGTTCAGTATAACCCAAGGCAACCTCGTTTCAATAGGCAGTACGGCATTTTCGAGTGAAGAGTATTAGAAACCTGGACAAAGTTAGATAACGGCAGAGGGAGGCAACAAAGACTGGTTCAGCTAACGTGCTTTTCATCCTATTACAGCAGGAGAAGAGAGGGGCTCTAACCTGTCTCAAAGTAGAGAGAGAGAGAGAAAGTCTGACAGCTGAAACTGTCTGTCCACTGAGTTCAGCTCCTCAGTCGGCTCACCGAGCCGAGTTTCACTTGCCCTGTCCTCACTAATTGGGCAGACACAATTCAGAGTGGAGGCTCTTCTAATTGGACAACCATCTGAAACACACGCTGAGTCCAAGCTGCCGGCCATTGACTGGCCGAGGTTCTCTCTCGCAACTCACCACTTCCAACACAAAGCACAGGCTGCTTGGCACAAGCTCTGAAAGTCCGCAGGGACAGAACTGTCAGGCTTGTGTGCATGTGTGTGTGTGCGTGCGTGTGTGTGTGTGTTTACTCGAAGGTGGTGCTTGTGTCCCTGCCTGCCTGTCTGTGTGCACTGGTCAATGTCAGAGTCCACAGTGTTCCTGTGACGAGGATCTGGGGAGGACAGTTGCGGGCCATGTGTGTCATTTAACGCGGTGAAAGGCCCCTGGGGGGTGATTTTACGCGGTCAAGACAGCACATGTCCCTCTCCATCAGCACAACTGCTGGGACTCCTCTCAGAGGCCTGTCTATGCAAAACAAGCATGGACGCTGCGGTCAGCACCAGACCAATCTGGTTACCACCACAGCACAATTTCCATTTCAAACATTGACACACAGCTGCACATGTGTCATATGTCATGAAGCTGAAATAAAGAACTGAATTCTCATATATTTTTAAAAGAAAATATAAACTGATCTGATACTTTAGCTTTTTGTATATTTCAAAAGATGATAAAAGTATTCTTAGATATTATCAGTGAAACAGTGAGTGTTAATGATAATTGAGAGACAGCATTTTCAGTTTCCATGATTCACTACTTTCTACTACTGTCATTTTCCTGTAAAGCTTATAAAATTAATACTAGACATCGTTCCCCTTTTTCAACAAATTCACTTTGCATCAGTTGCCGTACATGATATAAGATTCAGCAAGAGAGCAGCTCGATCTGCTCAATCAGAAAATGGATGGATACAAACCAATGTAGCACCTGCTCAATCAGATATTGCTACAAATTATGATACATATTAACTCTAAATCAAGAAATAAGAACCAACAAACATTGTAGAGGCCATTATGACCAATTTTGTAAAAAACAATAAACAATAAAATAATAAATATTTTGGTATATAACGAAATCAAAAACATAGAAATGAAAATAAAGAAATATGGTAATCTATTAAAGGAAAATAAATTTCAGATTTGATTCATATGAATATTTTCTGATATTTTCCCGTAAATTATTTGAGCTCTACTAGAAATGTGAATATTTTGTCTGGACAGCGGTGGGAGAGGGGGAAGCCCTTCAAACGCAAATTTCCCTGACAAACTGAATAAGGCACCGTGTGAGGGAGTGACAGAGCCGGCCGAGCGTCGGACTTTTACCATTGGACGTTGCTCTTTTAAAATGACTTGGCCCAAACAGTAACATAATCAGACTTGTTGCTGTACATGCTCAGCTCCGGTGTCAAGTGTTGGCCGAATTCTACTTGCCTGCCAAAAGCTAATGCACGAATACGCACAGTCAAAGCAAAGACCGCTGGTGTTCTGTCAAGTTAACACCGGGTGAAAACACTCGGCAGCCTAAACGGAGACAAAATCTGCCATTCGGTAAGATTGTATTAACAAGCTTATACCAACATGGAAGCTTTATACGTGTTTAAAAACAGGAACAGACGACTGTTCAACACGCCCATTTACAGTCCAGCCTTACACTGGCTTTTTACTTGTTTTTAGTCTGTGCAGTGGAGGATGACTTACTGGTGCAGGCAGAGTCAGGAGGATCGCTGTCAGCGCGGTAGAAACCACTCTGGCAGGGACAAATATTGGCTCCTCGTGCACTGGTGCGACTGTTGGACGGGCAGGGAGCACAGGATCCTTCACCGAATTTAGATTTGAAGGTCCCAGGGATGCAAGCTGGATGAGAGAGAGAGAGAAAATATAGAGGAAAATAAGAAGAGAAACAACACAAAAACAAAACGAAACAAAACAAAACAAAAAACGCACTCTGCTGTGTCGCATCTAAAAGACAAGTGGGTGTCACTTCTGTCCCAGAACAAAAAAATGTGCCTGTTGGGTACATGCAAAACTTGTACGCATACTAAATTGGTGAACACTCAAGCATCAGGTGTTAGTTTCATCATTTTTGACCAGGGGACATTAATCTCCCCCCAAAAAAGAGTCAAGATGACAGCAAAGTTTCAAGTTGAAGAGGAGGATGGAGAGGAAGATAGTGTGTTGACAGGAGATAGCTGTTGTCAAGACAAACTGGGATAGAGAATGCCTATGAGAAAAGGAATACACCCTAAACCCATCAATCAGTGTCTGTTCAGTCCTCAGTTCTCCAAACCGCACTGCTGAATACAAACAAGCCCGCCACATGCATGCAGATCGGCTCCATAATAAGTTAATAAATCAATGCAAATGAAGGGACATCAGACTGGACATAAATTAGCTGAAGGGGAGCTGTTTGGAGAATATACAAAGTTAATCTCAGATGATGTGTCCAAGCGCTTAATTAATAAGTGTCACGTAGAAGATCGGCTGATATCGAGTCTTAAGGATAAACCGACATAAGCCAAGACTAAAGAAGGATTCAGATAAAGGGGATTAGCAGCAAAAGGTCTGGATATATCAGCCTCCCGAGAACCGCGTTTTACTGTTTCCCACATTCCTGACTGGTGGTGTAAACGTGGGGTCTCTGGCAAACATCTGTCCTGTCAGCATGAGGGCTCGTAAAAGGCAGCCAGTAAGGGAGAGAGCATGATTAACTAGTTAGGCTAAGTGGTCTTTTCAGTTTGAACTCAAGTTCCACCCTAATTCCCAACAATGGCACTTTTAGGAAAATCAGCAGAGCTAATGGCCAGACAATGTAGCTCTGAAACCATGCAATAAAAAAGCCAAAGAAGATGAGATGAAAATGTTCTTTATTTTTCCTCCCATAATTCACCAAGACCTTTAGGCTCTAGACTCTGTGATCTGATTTATTTCTCATCTATTACACAGTGCGTTGTGATTTTTTTATTTGTTTGTTTTCCTTGCTTCTTTTTCGAGTGGGTCCTGAATCCCTCCACTGTCTTGCTTCAATCCAACGCAACCTCCTTGGAGGACACACTGATTTTGCTGTTTTTCATACACTAATGTTTCCCTTTCTCCTCCAGCTTCTATTGTCTCTCCTCTTCTTCACCCCCGCTCCATCTCATGTAGCGTTTGGCTGCGAGCGAGCAGCGAGGCCGGGGTAAGAAATGAAACGTCTGAGTGATTAATGTTGGTGTAGCAGTGTTGGCTCACGTTGGTCTGAATGGTGTTAATGAGCGTGGCCATCTGTAGATTAACTAACGTGAGGCCTCGGAGGAAATTACACTTCCTCATCACAACCGCTGGCAGACGCCCTACAGAGTTTTTATCAGGCAAGCTTTTAACCTTGAGCCGCCAAATGGCAACGAATGAGCTCTCAAGCGCATGTTAGACACTATTTCTCACGCCCAGGTGAGAGGAGGCTTCGCTTGTCTGTCTTTGACTTCCTGTGCCACCACCCCCACCCTTATTCATTCTCATCCTTCGGCGTTTCTTTGGCTATTCACGCCTCTTAACTCATACTATCTCTCTTAATATCTCTCCTCTCTGGATATTATTATCTGCATTTTCCTCACACAAATCTACCACCTTTCTATTTTGTGCCTTTCTTTCTCTCCCTCCTGTTCTGCTCTCACAATATTTGTATGCTGCTCCACTCTGCAACACCTCATTAATTCATACTCTCCTCCACCCTCCTTCACCCCCCCTTCAAGAGCCACACAATAAATGCAGAGAAGAGGGCACAGACTGAGGTGACTTGCACTGAGCATATAAAGAGGGTTTGGTTAAATAAAAGTCCAAATGTCTGTTAAATACACATACCCTGGCACTGAGTGCCGTCTGCAGAGGGTTCAAAGCCAGCGACGCAGGTGCAGGAGCCCACGGGAACCATCCACTCGCCGTCCCCGTTGCAGTACAGCTTCAGAGGGACGGACACCTCCATAGCGTTGGTCACGCAGGCCCCCGGAGCGATCACTAAGGAGGTTGCTTCTGCCCCTGTGGCTGTCTCTGGGAAGACGGCAAAATTGGCGATGGTGGTGGAGCACTTCTTGAAGAAAACCCTGACGGAGATGAGAGACATGCAGGCACCCAGGTCCTGAAACGCCAGGTAGAAGCCTGCCTTTGAGAGGGGGCCAAAGCTGCGCACTTTGGTGTTGATCCTGCCTGCCTCCAGCAGAGAGAAACTCTCGTCTGGGGCTATAGTATCCACCTTCACATAGGGGTTCTCCCTCCACAGAGGGCTGGTGTCTGTAGCTGTGTCCCCCTCCGATTCATAGTAAAACAGATTAAAGGTCTCTTTGCAGGAGCCAGGGATGTTGGGAATGCTGGCGCAGTCACGGACGGAGAACTTCAGCTCCACGTAGACACGCAGCACGCCCCTGCGGGGTATAAAGTCCGTCCTCAGCCAGTTGTTCTGGTTGGGTTGTCGGACATTACACACCTGGTAGGTTCTGATTGGGCTCATGGAGTCATCGTAGCCACTGACCTCCTCCCACTGTGAACACAGCAAAGAGACAGTGAGACAAAGGGACAGACGGCAGCAGGGACAGATGGCAGATTAAGACAATGGCGACAGAATAGAGAAGGTTGAAGTATAAAATGAGAGGAAATTGAATTTACTATCTAATGTAGGGACACAGTTCTACTTCTCTTTCAGAAGCTGCTAAACTACAGTAGAAAGTCACTTATCCAATATGTTGTTAATTAATGTTGAGTAATGGTAAATGCAGTGAATCCTTATGCAAACCATCCGAGCATAGAGGACGTTCAAAACAGAGAAGCCACATCTGATGTAAACAAGACATGTGGCACATGCACACACACACACACACACACACACACACACACACACACACACAGACACAGTTGTGTACATGAGGACTGTAAGGAATAATTGCAACTAAAATGCTTTTAATTGCATGAAACGTTCAGAAAATTCCAATCATTACAGACCAGAAATGGAAAAGATTTCTTGATTAAAACTCATTTTATCCATTTTGTCTCGTAACAGTCCTGCTGCTGGTAAGAGTTTGGTAAAGGGAGGTTGTTGGTAAGTCTGATGTTAAACAAATTGCAGACAGAGCTCAGTGTTACTGCTGCAGGGCAATTGAAACGGTTTCTCCGGAGGAGATTCAGTTTCCACAACATCTAAATTTGTTATTTTAGCTAAGAGAATGAAGGTATCAAATTGTACATTTTAAATGGAAACATTCCTCACACATGTATAATGCAAAAAGTGTGTTATTTATTAAAATGGCAATCTAAATGCACTGCTGTCAGCATATCACACTGTAGAAGCACTCCTGACAACTTAAGGTGATGCTGATATAACACGTATTCTTTCAAGCTGACACGTCAAACCTGAGAGAGATGTCTGCATTCACGGTGGTTAACATATCTGGTGGACTTGTCTTTTGAAAACAGCTATTAAAAGAATGACATGACATGACTTCTGCCTTTGACCCATGTCAATGCTTTATATGTTGCCATACCTGCTCTTTGTATGTGGTAAGATTAGAGCGGATGATAAATGGCTTCATAGGTCAATAAATTTAGTACATTAGGAAATAACCCTTTGAGAAGTCAATCTTTTAAAAAAAAATTGTATTCCCTGTTGGACTGAATACTTCATTTCCATAACAAATGAGTATCCCAGAAATTGATTATTTCAACTGTGAAGAAAATAATGCATAACTCATCCCATGTCTGCGAGATCCTGCACAATTTATTCCCAAACGATGAGCCCAAGAGTCAGCATTAGACGTCGTAAATCACTAGCAACACGTTGATGCACTACCTGACAAATATGATAATTGCTGGCCCCCACGAACGTATGGGATTGTCAGGCGCAAGGAGAGGGGCTGCCTCACCAGCCTTGACATATGACTTCATGGATGCTGGGACTTTCAGAGCCGGCCATTCAGAGGCAGAGGGAAGGAGCCGGGGCTGCCGAAGATCGTTTCCATGGAAACCCACCATTTCCATTGACTGACTTTGCGCTCACGTAGCGAAGACAAATTACACTGGCCGGGAGTGGGGGAGGTCTGTCAGGCTGTTAGCCCCGGGTCAAATTCATGTTGTTTTATTTTCTCACCATTCCTATAGGGGGTATCAACTGAATACCTTAATTCCTGCCTGTAATGTACTCTAGGGGACATATTATAAAAGACAGAGACACATGCTTTCAATTATCTGGCGCTCTCTCCTGGGGAGACGTGCAGGGTAGAGCCTACCTTATAGTCCTGACACACTGTGGGGATTTGCTTTGTGTATCTGCACGTTTGCTCATTTGTTTGTTTAAAGTACAAGATGCACAGATTTGTTTTTACAGTTTAAGCCCTTTACATCATTTTAATGCTGAAAAAAATCTTAGATTTCTTGTACATAGTGTCACACTGTATGTTTCTCATTTGCTTTTTAGTATCTAAGAAAGCAAACATACACAGCAAAAATAAAGATATAAAACAGTAGGAGGTGTTCTGTTCAAGGCAGACTGGGCTCAATTAACAAGCAAATGGAACAAATGTTGTTAAAGAGAAAAAAAGGGAACACAAAACAAACTCAACACATGCACACACAAATTCAAACTCACCCCACTTTCTGGGAATGTGGTCCAAGCCAGCTCTGTGGTTGCCCACCGGCTGTCCATAAGAGTTTCTGCAAAGTAAGAGGAGAAGGAAGGTTTGACACACACAAATTAACTGGTGTGAGGAAGAAAAACCAGATCAGTGCACAGCATTAAAGACCACACACACACACACACACACACACACACACACACACACACACATATCCAAGTCCCCCCCCCCCTGTGAGACAAAGGATCCAGGTAAAACTTTCCTTCTCTTTCATAACCTCCACCTACAGTACTGTTCGTGAAAACGCTGACTGGCATGGCATATTTATGATGACGCCTAATTAAGGCTTTTTCTCTCTCTCCATGTGTGTGTGTGTGTGTGTGTGTGTGTGTGTGTGGGTTTGGCACTCACAAATGCACCTCTTTCAATATTAATTTGTGGAACTAAGAACTAAGTATCCTCCAAGATGTCTTTAGTGGGAAATATTCCATTAGTGAAAACTGGTGCAGTGAGATCAAATAAGCACAGGGAAATTTAATAATATAACACATTTAAAGGGGAGGCTTACACCCCTCAAAAAAAGTGATGCCTTTTGATTGACAATTATCATGTCTGAGTTAACGTTTGATCTCAGCAATCTTTTCTTCCCCTGCCTGTTTTACGACTTCGCAGCGAGGTGAGAGCACGACACACAATCAGAGGAGAGGCCGAGAATAAACAGCAGGATCAATGAGCATTGTTGTGTCAGCTTGTCAATCAGTTATCACCCGAGTGGTGGTCCAGAGGTGTCTGTAGCACCTCTGAAGAGGCGGCTCCTCTCTCTGGGGTTTCAGTATATAGCTGTGGACGTGTTTAGCTCTGATCGCTCCATTGTTGTTAGCACATAATTACTGCAACAATTACACTTTCTTCATGGAGCCTCAATGACACGGCGCCTGCTGTGCACCATTTGCTCGCAAGTCGTTGATAACAGCGCTAAACGAGGGTGCGAGAGGGCAAACAAATTGCATGTCCTGTGAAGAACAGCAGCTTTGTCCTGGTCCTGTAACGTTGACGGTTGATGTTTAGCTCTAAAAGACAAGAAACAATGCAGACACGGGACAGCATGTCCTTGGCTTCAGCGTGCAAATAATAAAAGTTGCTTGATTGAGTGAGTGGATCACTGGTCCATCTGTAGCTGCTGAGCTCGAGCTATTTGCAGTGTTTACAATCTGTGCTCTGTGTTCATTAGACAAACCACAATGGCTTTTCTTCTTCTTAGAAGATGACAGATAATGAATTGTGATCTGTACATCATGCTGAATAGAATACAACTGCGGTTTTTCAACTGTGTGCAATGGAGAGCAGAGAGAATCTCACCAAAGACTGCAAACAGGCAGCAATCATACTCTAATTAAAAGCTCATTTTAGTGCTTCATGTGGTCACATTCACACTGCAGTTACTGCTACGACTAAAAGAAAGAGATGGAAACTTCCTCGTTCTTAGTTCTCAGGCAAATTAGCTTGTCTGTGTGTAAATGAAAGCAGGATGTGACAACTGCTATTTGAAGTGGCAGATAAATTACATATGTTTATCATATGCTCCTCGTTTGGCTGGTTATGGTCCAACATGGTCAGGAGCTGATCAAACATTTTATAATTCCTCCTAATAATTTTTTATAAAATACTGGTTTAAACATTGTGGGGAATACACTGGTTTGCCGTCTTGACCAGAGTTAGATGAGAAGATTGACACCATTCTCATATCTACACAGTCAATGTTCAATTGGCAATTCTACTTAGTATCAACAGCTAATGTGACATGCTGATGAAATTTTGATTTTTGTGAAAATTAAAGAAAAAATTAAGTCAGTATAATTACTAGTATTTGTAATTTCTCCCCTTCAAACAAAGACAGGCTAGTTGTTTCCCCGTTTCCAGTTTTTGTGCTAAGCTAAGCTAATTGGCTGTGGCTTTATATGAAGATGACAGACATGAGAGTGGTATCCATCTTCTCATCTGACGTTTGACACGAAGGAAAACAAACATATTTTTCAAAAACTACAGCTTGATTTATGGTGATTTAATAGGTAAATTAATTCAGGGCGTCTCACATATTCACCATTAAGAAACGATGAAGCCTCTCTGGGGTTATTAATGTTTAAATAGACAAACCATGAACCACCATCACTGACTGGTCATGCAGCAACATGTACATGTTTGCATATCACTGCCGGTTTCATGAGAGTAGGTACAGTAATGATTTCAAACTGAATATATTCATGGCATCTGAAAACTGACTTCATCCCAGCTAATTTGGTGGCATATTAGCGTCTGAAGTATTTGAATTAACATTCATTAAGTGACGAACCACTAAGCATTAATTAATCCCATGAACTCATAGTCACTTTATCATTCCTTCATGGGGAGCAACAGGAATCGTGCATTGGTTAAGCAGGTGATTTATGGCCTTAAACAGAAATATTTTAAATGCAAATAACCGTGTTTTAGGAAATGAAAAGTGGGCTGGAATAAACAGATGAGTGGTGCCGCACAAAGTAAAAATCATTGATTTTAAAAAGGGGAAACAAAGTGGCTGCCTTCATCTTTTTTGCAAATGGAAATGACATTTACTTCTGCATTTTATTTAATGAGTAATATTTATGCATAAAGCAGCTTTTAGAAAAAAAAATAGACTTGTGCCTCATTTGTAAAAGCGTTCTCCCTCTTACTGTATATCTGCATGCATGAGGACATGAGCGACAGCAGATAATAACTTTGGCTGTCAAGCCCAAATGTTCGTCATGATCGTGAACAAGGTTGTTTTAGTGATTAACACGACTTGAGCCACAGTCGAGCAACTAATCAGAGAAATCAGCTGCTGTTGTCTCTGCTTGGCTACACTCGGCCCTGGGAGGCACACAGCTGACTGAACACTCCCAGACTACTTGCTGCTGCTGATCCATGGATCCAGTTTCTCCCCTGAGTGTCTGATCTGGTTCTTCCCCCCATCCCTCTTCTCTCGTGGCGCCCAGAAGCAACAGAGACAGAACCACTCAGCCTCAGCTAACCACAGGTTTGAGCTGATGCTCCATTCAACAGGCGTCACGTCCCACAAGGCACATGCAAGAGGGTAGCAGGGTGACCGTCTGTAAAAGCTGGGTTCAAGCCCCCCGGTATAAACAGGATTTCACCCCCCTGAAGCCTTCCTGAGTTAAGACACTGAATCCCCAGCAGCTGTAGAGGTGCTATACTGCATACTGACCTTTGACCTCCACGTGGAGCAAGAGATTTTGAATGAATCTTTTAATACTTTTACAATGTTTATCCCCAGTCTTATCCAAGGCTGGACAATATATATACAATTATCATGATCAATGTCACATTATTATCTCTGGGGAGTTTAAATACTGATTTTCTTGAAGGTTGTACATTTATGTTAAGAGAATGACAAACACTTGATTAATATTTGATAAATCTGAGGTCGAGAGAGAGAGAAAGAGAGATACAGATTATTTTGTGATAATTATTAATATTGTTTTAATGCCCAGTCCTTTTCTTAACATGAGAGACCAGGCACGTTATCTCAGAATCAAGATAATCCATTTTCAGACATGAACTCTGGAAAATGACCCAAATTTCTGTTTATTTTCAGGAGTTTGTGTGAACCCTAACACGTGAGGAACGCAGCAGGAGATTGTCCGGGTCAGACGGGGTCACAAAAATGGTCAAATGTCCGGAACATTCAGTCGAGGGGTTGAGCCTGGGTAGATCATGCTGGAGGCACGGTATGACGTATAAATCCTGCTGCGGAAAAATGTGTGTTTTTGTTTAGAGCACAATCGACACCGGTGTCAGCCCTTACTGCCAAAAGCTCTTGAATCTCAATGTCGTTCTGAGTTGACATCTTTGTCTGTTTCTCCATCAGCCCTTCAGGAAAATTACAAGAAAATACCCAGACTTCAGTGCATGTCTGAAAACCGCTTCACTCTCTTAACCTACAGAAATAGTCAGCCAGCTGGAGAGTTCAACATCATTAGGTGCACGATGCCTCCGATTCACTCCAATTCACTAAAACGGAAAAGGTTTTCGTTCTAATACGACCATCACCACTAAAGTGTTTCATCGTCAACTCACTAAATCCCAGAGACCAGTTAAGATTGAAAAAGATCCCATTTGTTCCACTGTAAATTTACAATGCCTCTGAGATTGCCCCGGTGCTATAACTCAAAACCAGAAATCTCCCCTCCTCTCCCATAAAACGGTGGAGTCATTTTGCCCCCGGGGTAAGAAAACAATGCTGCAGTGGGAACTTTAGAGCATCACCACCCATGGCATTTGCTGTTTTTTTTTTTTTTGATCACCCGCCAGAGCCAAAATGCCACACAACTCTGAATTCTCTGAGCGCTCATGGGAGCTCACACATGCTGATGTTTTATTCACTTTGTGTGCTGTATGATGAAAGGAAGGCCTCGCCTTCTACTACACAGACACTCGCTGCCAACAAGCAAACATATGAAATATTAACAGCCCAACATCATCATCAGTGATCGAAGGGAGATAAAACCTGTGACTGTAAACGGATGTAAAAAGAGAACCTCAGATTTTTGTCACTAAAAAATTACTTCAGAGTTCATTTGTATTTGGATGTTTTTCTCTATAAAATCAAAGATGAGTGCGATGCTCAGTTTGACACCTGATGAGCAGCTTTTCAACAAGTCAATATGACCTGATTCAATCTCTCTGCAGCATCTGATTTTACAGGCATCAAATTATGACTCATGTTGATATTCTCATGCATAGGAAGCAGAAAAATGTAAAAGAAACTCCTCTATTAATATGAAAATAATAATGAATTGCCTTTTCCAACCATCACGCACATACAGCCCATAGAATATTGTGTAGAATGCTCTCCGAGTGGTCATCCATCTCCTTTATGAGCTTTTAAAATAAGAGTACAGTAAACACTGACTGTAAATGGAAGTAATACAGCATAAAAGTGTCACAGTTGCTGAGGCTTTTACTGCAGTGTGTTGGTGTGAACTGGAGATAAGTCATCACTGGAGCTTTTGTAAATAAGCACACACTTAATTGCAGTCCAGCTTGCATCATCCATGTGCAAACTCTTGCCAGGCAAAAAAAAAAAAATCAGATTCAAGCCATGTGTTGAGATCCTCAGAGTGAGCAGCTCAATAACGACATGCAACTCACTGAAACAAAAAAAAGGGGGGCCTCCCTTTTTCTCCGTCATTTAAACCCATCTGATGATCTTCCCTTCGTGTTTATCCTCAGAGGACAAACATTAGTTAACCCCTGAGCTTTGAGTAACAGTTAGTGGTGCAGGCTGGGGAAACAGGACTGATCATCTTGCCGTGAGAGCCCGTTGGGACTTGGAGGGCTGCTGCCGCTGCATTGATTTACTTGCTGACACCAGAATTGATGAGGGATCGGGCTGGCCCTGGTCCAGGAGAGGCAGATTGGACAGGGGAGGGAGAGAAGGGAGGTGAGGCAAGAGACGTGTGTAGCTACAGCTCAGAGAGGAGTTGCTGGGTGGGATGCAGCAGCGGCGGAGGCAGTGGTGGGCGAGGGTGGGCTTTTCCCCCTGGAGCAATGCTCCCTCGATGATGGAGGGAGCTTCAGGGACGGCTGCATACTTGTTAAGCCACTGACCTTTCATTCACACTTGTCATTTAATATATTTCACATGTGTGTCCCTGTGGCGCCTCGGGGTCCGGGAGCGATCCACTCTGCTGTGTGCTGAAGCCTCCACAGCACTGGTATGCCTGAACCACAACAGCAGGTCTCAATGCTTTGACATGCATCATATGAGGAGCCAGTGTGTTTGGGTTTTACAGTGACTGTGGAGGAGGGACGCCCCCCCCCCGACTGTCCCCTCTGCTGTGGATCTAACCTGGGGGTGGGAGGAATATCAGTGTGGGCATCCTCGCTCAGCTTGTGGGTGTGACAACAACAGGGGACAATAGCAACAGGGCAGTCCTTCATCCGCAATGGAAGCACTGGGATGTCATATCTCTCTCACACACACACACACACACACACACACACACACACACACACACACACACACACACACACACCAGGGCGTGCTGATACATGTGTGCATGTATTATAATCAGACAGCAAATTGATACTCAGTAGAATTGCCTGTTTAACAGAGCATGTCATTATCATTATTATTAGTATTAGCAGCTTTAATTTAACATAAGATGAAAGGAGTCTTGTTTAAAGATCTAATTCCACAAATCTGCAGTGTGCTTATTTAAACTGACGTGATGCACTGATCCCAGAATGGTTTCAATCATAGGAATAAATATCCATACTCTCCCATATATTGGGTTTATGTATATATACAGTTCAATTAATGAAGAATGAGGATTTATTTCTGCGAACAGAGAGTTTGAATTCTGATCCATGCATCCAGCCCATTGTTCGTCGATGGGAGACAGAAGTGGTGATGGAAAAATCAAATATCAACATACCTTCTACAGCCAGCACCACGGGGACAATGAGGCTGCACACCCACAGCAAGTAATCCATTGTCATAGAGCAGGCGTCTGCAACATGAAGGAAGGTGTGTGTAGACTGGACCCTTCGTGTGGATGGATGGAGACTCACAGCACCGCAGCCCCGCTGTTTGTTCCTCTCCTCGGTCTCATGCCTTCAGCTCAGCACCGGAGCTCTCGCCGCCCCATTCCAACAAAACCAAAGCAAAATTTAAAAGAAATCCTCCAAACATTCAATATCACCGAGCGCTTCTCTGTGCCGCCGCCTTCTCCCGGGCTCCGTTATTCCCGCTGTGACAGGAGCGCTACACTGCGTCTCGTTCCCTTTCTTCCCTCACTTCATCCAAGCACGCCGAACCTCCGTCCAGGGGCGCATCTCTGAGCCCGGCGCAGAGGCTGCTGCAGCAGGATGGAGCGGCGACCTGTGTCCGGGGGAGAGGCTGGTTCACCGGGCAACACTTTGGACAACTCCGCGTAGCTGTTGCTCCTCCGTGAGGGTTGTGCGTCGGAATGGCAACACTGGGACAAGGAGAGAGGGGGGGGG